CAGTTTGCCCCTGTTCGGGTCATACACCGGCATTGAGACTCCTGTTATCCCTCTTTCAATCATGAAGTCTCGTAATCTTGTTAGTGCCAATATCACGTGTTCGGGATCTATTGTGTTCCTGTCATTGACCCTCGTTACTAGGAAGCACAGATATTTGCCCGGGACTTGTGCCACTGACGGTGGAAGCGCTGCCATCCCTCCCAGTCCTGGTCTCTGTCTGAACAGAAACTCTACATTCTGGTACTCTCTTTTGAAGTCAGCTTCCAATCTTGATTTGAAACTCATGTCCGCCGTGATGCAGATCGCGCTGGTCCTGTTTGACAGGATGAAGTCGCTATCTGTTATCATGATGTTCTCCGAGTATTCATTGGGTATTTCGAATTTCGTTTTGAAATTCCGACCTATAGTAGGCTCTGGCTCTTCTTCCTCCAGTTCCAATTCGCTCGTTTCTCTCACTTCCTTGAGCTTCTTTATCATCAAATTTTCGGTGTGGGTAAGTCCTACCCCCACTCCCCGGACAAAAATATTTATCGACGTCCCCGTCGATGTTGTCGGGTTTGAATTGTACTGAGGAATGTCCAGTGGCCTGTCTGTTGCCGTCATTCCGAAAAGAGGGTCCTCTGTCTTCATGTAATTTGCTGCTGATACATCGACTTGCTGAATGCTTTGTCCTTCGCGGCTCTCGTCTTTGACATCACGCATCCACTCTAGAATCCTCAAGTTCGTGTTCTCCCTCCTCTCTATCTCACTCTGTTCGAGATCCGTTTCTACTTCTGGCGTCGAGTAATCATCCTGCGGATAATGACCACCATCGTCAATGACCTGCCATTCCTCTCCAGCTTCCAGTTCGCCTGCCTTCAGTAATTCCTCGCCCAATTTGTCTGGCTGTATCTTATCGATCAAGAAGTCATCCCCGTACCTGTTGTACCTCATGCCTGTGCGTTTGCGATTGCCAGTCCTGGTTTCCGGTGGTGTTGTTCGATCCGGTTCCATCCTTTTCGGCACCTCGTCTTGCTCCGGGTCGTTCCAGTCTTCTTCTACAAATGATCCTGCATCAGACTCCACTCCTATCTTTTCATTGTCGTCCAAACTCAAGTTCTCATTACCATCATTTTTCTCTCTAGTGCCTTTCTCATTCACTTCACACGCTGGCTCTACCACCAGGTACTCAAGACCCTCCATGTCCTTCGGTATGCACCAATCCTCTGGAGACGGGACGTGAGGCTTCAGATTTTCATAATGTGCCGCTCGCCCAGTACTCAAGCGATAGAATCGTCCTTGTTGATGAACCTCCGTTATCATGAATGGTCCCCTCCACTTCTTGAGTAGTTTCTTTGTTCCCTTGGGCGGTATGACATTTTGGAAGACCCACACGTATTGGCCCACTCCATATGGCTTTGCTCGTAATATTTTTTCGTCGTATTTCCTGCGTTGCCTCATTTGCGCTTGCGCAGTGTTCCTCCTGCATAGCTCGTTCAATTCCTGTTGTCTTTTGATCGCTTCTTTCACGTATGCCTGAGGCGACGTCCTTTTCCCTTCGTAGTCCGGGTAAAAGAATGTCAGAGGCATTGCTCTCTCCCTGCCCGTCAACATCATGAAAGGACTGATGCCCGTAGTTGAGTGCTGTGTACTGTTGTAGGCTCCTACTACCTGTGGCAGGTATTTGTCCCAGTCCGTCATGTATCTTGAGCAGTACACCCTTAACATGTTGACCAGTGTCCTGTTTTGTCTCTCTACCAACCCATTGGTCTGTGGATGATAGGTTGTCGAGTGTGCTTGAGCAATGTGCGATCTCTTCATCAATTCTTTTGTCAAGTCCCCTACAAAAGCTTTGCCGTTGTCCGACTGGAAAGTCATTGGACAACCATACCGCGATATCCAATGCGTTATCAGATGATCACATGTCTCCTCGGCCGAGGCTGTTTGGCACGGGACCGCTTCCGCCAACTTTGTGAAGTGATCTATTTTAACCAGTATCTGGTTATATCCCGACTCCGTCATCCAGATTTTTTGATGGTCTATCTGCACCACTTCATTGAACTCTGAGCTCTCAACGGACTTGAGGGGAAACTTCATCTTCCTTGGGTCTTTTACCTGGAGACATGCCAGGCAGGCATTCACCCATCTCTCGCAAGCTTTTCTCATTCCTGGCCAATCAAACCTGTGAAGTATCCTTTGTTGTACTTTGTCTATCCCCTGGTGGCCCATCTGGTCGTGCGATCTGAAAAGCACCTCCGTTTGATACAACTGTGGCAGTATGATGAGGTTGTGTTTGTGTAATATCTTCTCCTCATCTTTCCTCTTGCATGCTACCACCCCATCAGCTGTGTGGTAGAGTAAGTCTTTTTTCTCTTTGTAGAACTGGCTCAAGATCTTGTAGCTGTCTTCCTCGAGTTCCCCCTTCTCCTTGACCCCCGACTGGATCCATTTGGAGAGGTTACTTGTCATTTTGTCATTTTGGGCTCTTATTAGGTCTGACAGCCTATATCTTGCCTTGACATGCTCCTTTAGCGCCATGATCTGTCCATTCATCTCACCAGGTTTGTGGATGTCATCACTCAGCTTCACGCATATCATCCTTTTCACGATTTTCATATCATCTTCTGGCACCAGATTTGTTCTGACGTTTGAGTTGCATGATAGTTCTCTGTATGGCTTCCTTGAAACCGCAATTCTCTCAAGTTCCTCACCACCTCGTATCTCCTGTATCTCCAGATTGTACGTTCCTGATGATGGATCCGTCTGTAACTCCCTGTCGTGGTGCCTTGTCTTCTCTTCCGCCAGTATCATGCACAGACTGTCCTGGTTTTCGCTGCTCTCATCCGAGTCTTCATCCCATCCTTCACGCTCCCCGGACAATTTTCCTTCTCCGGTTCCTTCTTCCGTGAACCTGGAACACTCCCCGGACTCTTGACCTAGTCCCAGGTGTTCAGTATCTTCCTTGAACGTCACTTTCTTTTTCCTAACCTTGGTCTGCTCCAGAATGTCTTCGGGGATTTTATCAACTAGTGACCGCACGACATCTTTGCTGTCAGTGACGCTTCCTCTTGATGAGTCAGTATCGTTCACTGTCTCTTTTCTCCGAAGTATAGTGAATTCCGGTTTCTCTTGACCCTTCTCCTGGATCACGGGCTTATCATCTGATAGTTTCTCGAGCAACCTCATTAAGTCATCATCTATCTGTGCAGTTCCTGCTTCCACCTGGTTAAGATCATAGCCTTTTGCCTTGAGCGTCTCCTTCACGATCTTCGACTTGAGTATAATCTCAATCGGAATCCTCTTGCTCTTCCTCAAGATGGTCTTCTCTGGAGGCTCTTTAGGCAATTCAGGATGATCTTCTATCGGTTTGCCTGACTTGTCCAGCCATCTCGTGAGTGGAAGACTGTCGTACGTTTCCTTGTCCATGAATGAGAAGCCATCTTTGATTTCAGGTCTGTCTGCTTCTCTTTGCTCTTGTCTCTCATAGAACTCCGTCTTCTTACTCAAGCTGTCGGCATTCTGATGTTTATCTCGCGTTCTATGCTCAATTATCATGTTGTATCCGTCCAGGCGAACTATCCACCTCCCAATGTAACTTTGGTCCATTGAGTACGTTTTCAGCCAGCTCAGTGCTCTGTTGTCGACTCGCAACTTGAATGGTTCACTGCCCAAGTATGCCCTGTATTTCTCGACAAAGGTAACCACCGCGAACATCTCAGCTTTCGGTGCTCCTTACTTCATTTCCGTGTCACTCAGGACTTTGCTCCCGTACGCTATTGGTCTCAAGACTGTCTTCCCATTCCATTCTTGTTCTTGGTGGAGAATCCCAGAAATCGCGACTACCGACGCATCCGTGTCCAGCACGTACATCCCTTTCTCAGTCGGCATACCCAGTACTGGTGCCTCACATAGCTCTTTCTTTATCCTCTGGAATGACTCTTCTGCTGCGTTGTTCCACGTGAACTTCTTGCCCTTGTGTCTCGTTAATTGTTGCATCGGGTATACCTTGTCTGCATAGCCTTTGATGAACTCTCTATAATAGTTAGCGAAACCCAGGAAGCTCATCAACTGGTGCTCTGTCTTCGGTGATTTCCAGGTCAGGACTGCTTCCACGGCGTCCGTATCAGGTCTGATGCCGTGCTTGTCTACCATCCTGCCCAAGTACTTTATTGAGTCCTTGAGTATCTCGCACTTTGATGGTTTACACTTTAGCCCCGACCTCTTCATGCATGCAAACACTTCGTCTAGTCTCTCAATGTGGTCTTCCAGTGTTGGCGTCGCTATTACCACGTCATCCACGTAGCACATTACCAGGTTGCCATACTTCTTCGTTACGCCTATCAGCGCGTGTGCCATCAACCGCTGAAACGTGGCTGTGGCATTGCAAAGTCCAAACGGCATCCGTTTCCATTGAAACAGACCCAACTCGCAGGCAAACCCTGTCTTGTCCCTGTCCTGCTTCCTTAGTGGTACTTGCCAAAAGGCTGAGCCTAAATCAAGAGTCGTAAAAAATTTTGCATCACCTAACTTCGAGAGGCTCTCATCAATCCTAGGTATGGGATAGGCATCCTTCACCGTGACGGAGTTCAGGTATCGAAAGTCACAACAAAACCTCAACTGGTCGCCTTTCTTTTTGGCCATCACTACTCCACACGCCCACGGTGATTTGGATGGCTCTATCATGTCATATTCTAGTAACGTCTCGATCTCTTTTCTACACGCGTCCGATTTGTGTGGGGTCATGCGCCTCGCCCCCTCCCTGTGTGGTACCGCGTTTTCCTCAAGTTCTATTTCATGCTCAACGAAATTGCAACACCCGATATCCGCCTTATGCCTCGAAAAAACATCCTCATTCCGCTCTAGTACGTCCTTGATGGCTTCGAGCTGTTCATCTTTCAGTTTGCCCCTCAAGTGTTCAATCTCCGGCAGAACCGGTTTTTCATTTTGCATTTCATCTAGTGTGGGTCGCTCTGGAAAGTTCGAACAGCTCGAAAGACCATCATCCGTTTCTGACTTAAGTGATTTAATAAGACCTGAAGAATCTTTTATTTTCTGCAATCGTCTCAAGATACAAATTTTGTCCCTGTGATTGGGACAATCAACAACTTCATTTTGTTTTGGGTTCTCAATTGTTTCATATCGAGTTTTAACCGGTAAAGCATATCCTAGTTTCCTCCCTCTCTGTATCGTGATCGGTATATCAAGGGTATTCAACAAGACACTGACGCAGAGGCCGCTCTTCGTTATCGAAAATGATCTTCCTAAAACAGCAGCACTTTGACTATTAGGATTCGGAACTATGCACACTTGCTTGTTGTCACTTAGTTCATTGTAATTTTTCATCCTCAAACTTACGATTGCCGCTTCATTAGCTTTTAGCCTCACCCTCCTACTCAAGAATACCGGTGCTTTGTTTTCATTTACCATTATTAAATTTACCGGTTTGATTGCGTACCTCCTATCCGGGTTCCGTATCCTGAACATTGCGTTATTTAAATCAATCGTTACGTCGAAATTCCTGATGAAGTCTCTGCCCAAAATGAATTGGTCAGATTCATCTAGGTTTTCTACCACGATAAAGCTCATCCACAGGTTACGTTCCCCCAAATTGAGGGCTATTATCGGCGTCCTGCCCAGCACCCGTAGGGCCCCTTTGTTTGCAGCTGACAGCCGTATTCTCGAGTCTATCAAGTCGCCTTTGTCAAAGCCCATCTTCTCCCAAGTTTCGATTGGTATAACGCTCAAGACTGCTCCCGTGTCAAGCAACCCACGCAACTGAGTCTTTTTGCCACTTATATCCAGCACGTGCCCTGTCACATCTGCCTCCGTCCCGATGTGCATTGCATCTTCCTCAAGCATGGCGCAGTGTCCAATCGATCTCACTTTTAATTCTTCTTTCCCTACGTAGATTTGTCCAATCAGGTCTTCGTCACATGTTATCATCGTCTTGGTATAGATGTTAATCCCATCTATATTTAGCATCACCTCGTGTGGACCGTAAGCTTCAGTATATCTGCTATCAACACGTACCGACTTGCTGCCCCCTCTCATGAGTAGTGCTCTCAGTGCTCTAGAAGTCGTTTGTGGGCTTATACCACTCAAATAGTCTGCATACACGTCAATGTGCATTATTGTCTGGTCGCTCGGCTCGCCCAAGTTTCTGGTTACCTCGTGGCCGCCCACTGTGATTATTGACATTATCCTTGCCCCGATTTTCGATATGCCAAAAGGTTTACCTGTCACCATTTTCACAGTATTGCAATTCCCTGTCTTCGTTGAGCCTGGTACAGCCTCTGGTATTTGTTTCGATCCGGTTAATGCTTCGTTAAAATTCTGTCTTTCTATCTCCAGCTTTAGTCGTTGCTCTATTTCTTTCGCAGCCAGATCCTGTTTCACTTTGGCAATTGCTTCCGTCGCCGCTTTCTCATAATTTATCTCTAGAGAGTTCCCTGCCGCGGATTCTATGGCATCATTAACATGTGATACAGCTTTCACTGTCTTCGTCGGCAATTCCGTGCTTGGTGCTCCTAAGTTCCTCGATTCAAATTCGTTTTGCCTGTTCCGCTGATTCTGCACCGCCGCTAATGCCAACTTATGTTTAGGGTGACTCTGGTCCTTGACCGCTTCCCAGAACAAGGGACAATCCATTCGGAAGTGCCCCTCCTGGTTACAGAAGAAGCATCTTGCGCCTATCTTGATGATTAAGCCAGTATAGTACTCGTGTTCCTCCATCTGGCTCATGTCCTCCTCATCTGGTGCATATCCTAGACTCTTCATGCCTTGTTTGTATGTTGTGCAGTCAGCCACGTGGTGATCCGCCGACCCGCAGTTCGCGCATGATCTGCGCTTGTCCATGTCATCTCTAGGTTTGTACCATGACGACCTCTGCGGTTGACTTCCCCCTTGCGTGTTCCTGTTTTCTGAATACGAGTATTTCTTGGGTTTCATCAGCATGTATTCCCTTGATTTCTGTCTCATTTCTTCTGGGGTTGGTGCGCTGTCTTTCGACAATGTGTAGTATGTTGCTAACATTGTCCTTAAGTCGTCACTTTTTACCCCATCAATGAACTTCGAGGCAATGCTAAAGTTTCTTCTGTTTGTCGACTCCTCTGGGTTACTCCTTCTTCTCAAGCTCTCGAGATCATCTAGGAACCGATCTATTGACTCGTCGTCCCTCTGCCTTCTATTTTCAAATCGCATCATCGCTTGGTGACCCTTCATGCCTGACCCGAATCGATTCAGCAATATCTCGAAGATCTTGTCCGCGGTATCGCGTTCTTCTTCTTTCTTCGCAACCACGCATTTTAATGCTGTGCCTTCTAAATTGCTGAGTATGGCTGTGCATGCTTGTCTTTCATCGTTCAAGTTGTCTTGCTCTAGATGTAATCTCATCACTTCCACCCACGTGTCAATGCATCCATCTGAGTCGTCTTTGAATTCTTTTGGCTTCTTGAATGTTTTTCTTGATTTCCCATCTCTCCTATCGCTCGAGTTAGTGTTCCTCGTGGCGAAGGCCTCTAGAGTCCTGTTCATCATCTCCCAAGTGTTTGCCCATGTCATAGCATCCGGACCTGCGTTGCTGTTAGCTGTTGAGTCCCCCGGACCAGTCGTTGTACTTTACATTCCATTCTTCATGATTGTTTTAGCAGCTGTTGGTGCTATGCTCACCGTATCCCGGGTTAAGGGCAACGGTGTCGATTGCCGTTTGTTCCTTTGTGGTTCCACAAAGTCAACTCTGGTGCCTTGCGTGCGATCCGCTGCCGGTCTTTCTTGTGAGGTAGAATTACTCAAGATTGCATCCAATTTCGCCTGTATTGCACACGAACTCTCGGCCTGATTTTTGCTCATTGTGTCCATTCTCTTTTCCAGGCTACCTAATTGGCTGTTGACATCATCATATCGGTTTTTTAACTGTTGCAAATCTTTTTTGATGTTCTTATCTCGTTCTTCATTGGTGGTTTCTACATTATCTGACATCTCCTTGAGTCTCTCTTCTGTTGCCTTGGCCAGGTTAAAATAACTATCCAGATACTCGTTTTTGTTGTATCTTAATTCTTTTCTTATCACTTCTCTGTCCTCTTCGCTGTGCTTCAGCTTTTTGTCGATCTGATTCAGTTTCGCCATCAAGTCACCTAGCTCAAGAGTAGCCTCTTCATGGTCAGCCGTCGGTTTTTCTTCGGCCGTCGCTTCTGCTCTAGTTTGTTCCTCTCTCGGATTGGCTTCTGTCGTCTTCGTGCTCACTGTTCCAAATGTTCGTGCTCTTTCAGCTTTTGGTTCTTCAGTCACGTTCTCTTTCGTTTTTATTCCGACCATCATCGCCAACCTTTCTGTAAAAGATGTCTTTTTTACTTGAGAGTCTTCTTTCACCGTTTCTTCGGTGTTGCCTATTGCATCTTCCACGTTGTCTATTGGTGAGAATTCTATGGGTTTCGAGTTTGGTTCTTCTGCATTGGGCATTGGAGTTGACTCCGTCGCTATTTTCCTTGTTTCATCAACACTTTGATCAGGTGTCTCTAGATCAATCTCGATGGTGGGTTCTACTCGTTCCCCTTCCATGCCCTCTCTTGCTCTCTCCGTTGTACTCCTTGTGCTGACCATATTAACTGAAAAGCTCTTCTTTGTTATCTTCGGACCCATTGATGTTGTTTTGCGTAGCGACGAATTATACTTTGCTTCGGTAGGTCTTTTTTCAGCTACCGGTACCCTGCTCCGCCTCATTATTTCTATTTACAATTGCTCTTATTTACAATTTTACTATATACACAATCCTATTCTAAGAATAAAATCTTTCGAGAGGAAAAAAAATTTCTTAAAAAAAAAAATATACAACGTGGTGAAAACCTTGTTTCAGTTCTCTTTATTAACTTTTCGAGAAACTTTCCTTATTTGTGGTCTCAACTGTACCTGGTTCCAATTAGTCTTGTTCTACCTTAATTCTGTCTTAAAACACTTCTTGTAATTTTACTTCAATTTTTATACAACGTGGTGAAAACCTTGTTTCAGTTCTCTTTATTAACTTTTCGAGAAACTTTCCTTATTTGTGGTCTCAACTGTACCTGGTTCCAATTAGTCTTGTTCTACCTTAATTCTGTCTTAAAACACTTCTTGTAATTTTACTTCAATTTTTATACTGTCCCAAGACTTCCAATTGCCGTCCCTACTTTTCTTTGTACCGTCCCAGGCTTCTTTCTCCTGTCCCAAGACTGTTCGGTACCGTCCCAGTACTTTCCGGCCGTGTCCCAAGACTCTTGTCCAAGACTACTGTCCCAAGGCTAGTGTCCCAAGACTACTGTCCCAAGATTAGTGTCCCAAGACTAGTGTCCCAAGACTACTGTCCCAAGACTACTGTCCCAAGACTAGTGTCCCAAGACTACTGTCCCAAGACTCCCGTCCCAAGACCCTGTCCCAAGACCCTTGTCCCAAGACCCTTGTCCCAAGACCCTGTCCCAAGACCCTGTCCCAAGGCCCTTGTCCCAAGACCTTGTCCCAAGACCTTGTCCCAAGACCCTGTCCCAAGACCTTGTCCCAAGACCCTGTCCCAAGACCTTGTCCCAAGACCCTGTCCCAAGACCCTGTCCCAAGACTCTTGTCCCAAGACCTTGTCCCAAGACCCTGTCCCAAGACCTTGTCCCAAGACCCTGTCCCAAGACCTTGTCCCAAGACCCTGTCCCAAGACCCTATCCCAAGACCCTTGTCCCAAGACCTTGTCCCAAGACCTTGTCCCAAGACCCTGTCCCAAGACCCTTGTCCCGAGACCCTGTCCCAAGACCCTGTCCCAAGACCACTGTCCCAAGACTGTACTGTCCCGAGACTGTCCCCAGACTGCTCTGTCCTAAGACTTCTTCGGCACTGTCCCAAGACTGTTGACAAGTGTCTGGGTGGTGGGACTTCTTTCCTCTTCGTTATGGGGACTTCTTGATTCGCCGCACCTTGTACCACCACTCAAGCTCTAGTAAAATTTTCCCAAAATCCTCTCTTAAAAGCCAAATGCTGACCCCCCTTTTTCTTATTTCTCTTTTTGGCTACCTCTA